GCCCAAACTAGCCCCTTCAGAGAGACTACACAGATACATGGATAGCCCCTGAGACTACAAGAAGAAAGAGAGAGAGCTGCTAGGTTATCCCTCAGCGGCGTCAGTCTCCCATCGTTCCAGGGTTAGCCATCATCTGACTGCAATTATGTTAGCCGGGACTGCCCAGCCAAAATTCTCTTCCCAAATTCCTAATCCATAAAAAGTGTGAGAGAAAATAAAATGATTGTTATTGTTTTAAGCCATTATTTTTTGCAGTGGTTTTTGTTGAACAGCAATAAATCCTCAATGATTCCCACTTCCTGGTATTCATACCACTCTGTAGTCTCTTCCCACACTGAACAGGGCTGACATGACCCAATAAGATAATGCAGAAATGACAGTGTGTGACTTTCAAGGCTAAGTCATAGAGATATTGTGGTTTCCATCTTTCTCCCTCTTAGATCACTCATTCTGGGGGAAACCAGCCACAGATAACAGAAACACTCCAGGAGACTGTGGAAAGAGATGAGAAACAGGCGTAAGTCCTAGTCCTCTGTATTAGTTTCCTATTGCTGCTGTAACAAATTACCACAAATTTAGTGGCTTAAAACAGCATGAATTTGTTATCTTACAGTTCTGTAGTTCAGAAATCTGACATGGGTCTTGCTGGGCTAAAGTCAAGATCTCAACAGTTCCTTTCTGGAGACTTTAGAGGAGATTCCGTTTATTTGCCCTTTCCTGCTTCTAAAGGCCATCCACACTCCTTAGCTCATGGCCCCCTTCCTCCATCTTCAAAGCTAGCAACATTGGATCTCTCTGTGCCTTTCTTTCATAGTCATATATACCTCTGACTCTCTTCTTCTGCCTCCCTTTTTCACTTTTAAGGACCTTTGTGATTACATTGGACCCACGGGATAATCTCTCTGTTTTAAAATCAGCAGATTAGTAACCTTAATTCCATCTGCAACCTTAATTCCCATTTGCCATGTAACCTAACATATTCACAGGTCCCAGGAATTAGGACATGGACATCTTTGGGGGCTGTCATTCTGCTGACCACACTGTCTGGAAGAAGAGCAGTGGGTCTGAGAAGGAGCAGCCAGAGAGGGAGGAGGGCCAGCAGAAGAGTGAAATATCACAGAAGCCAGAGGAAGACCGAGTTCCCAGGAAGGAGTGCTCAACGTGACTGATACTCTTGGGAGGTCAAGCATGATAAGAGCTGAAAAATATCCATTGGATTTAGCGTCCTGGTGATACCAGCCATTAGTTGTTAGAGGAGTGTTGGGGGCAGGAGCCAGTTTGTGGTGTGCTGGGCAGCAAAGAAGAAGTGAGGAAGTAGAGACTGGGATTGTAAAATCTTTTCCAAAACTGGATTGTGAAGGGAAATGTGTTGCTGTTTCTGAAATGGGAAAGAGAAGCAAGTTTCAGTGCAGACGGGAAGGAAGGAGAGGTATAGGAGAGATGGGTCATCAATAGATGCGATGTCTGTGAAGGGGAGAGCTCAGCTAGCTCACCAAAGGCTTGGAAAGGAGAGACTGTTGGGTTGACCCAGGCTCGGGTTTTGCCAGGCGGGCGCCACAATAGAACATAGGTTAGGATACTGGAAAGAGGGTGGGCGGGGTGATGGAGCTGGGAATTCAAGAGGGGAGAGACCGGCCGCAGGAGGCGCTGGTGAGGCAGGAGGAAATGGCTGAGCAAGCTAGGAGGATTGGAGGTATAGTCCTAATGATGCTGAAGTAATAGTTTCAGGGAAAATGCTGTGTTCTTGATCGGATCGCAGTATTCACTGGATTCCCTGATCCGTTGGTCTCTAAGTCCTGGATGTTCCAATGCTTAGAACGGGGCTTGGCATAGATTAAGCGCCATACTATACTGTTAGCCATATTAATATAATTTTTAAAGTCCGGAGACTCCATTTCCCTTGAGGCATTGCGGCCACTCCGACTACAACTCCCATCCTGCCTAGCAGGCCGCCTGGTCCGTAATTGCCCACGTTCCCTATCCGGTTTTCCAGTTCCAGCTTTCCTCACTGTTTTCCTACCTCGCCAGCATGCCTATCAAGTCTTAGGAACAACCAATTGGGTCAGGGAGTGCGAGACCAGACAGGCCAATCGCCCAGGCAGAGGGGCGGGAGAGGGCGTGGCCATATCCTGCCCTGCTTCTGCTCCGTGGCGGGTTCCCTTAGAGCTGGCGCCTCGGGCGGGGCCGGAAGACATGGGCGCTACCTGGAGGAGCCCGGGTTGGGTGCGGCTCGCCCTCTGCCTCGCGGGCTTAATACTCTCTCTCTACGCGCTGCACGTGAAGGCGGCGCGCGCCCGGGACAAAGATTACCGCGCGCTCTGCGATGTGGGCACGGCCATCAGCTGTTCGCGCGTTTTCTCCTCCAGGTGCGCGCGCAAGTGGGAGGCTTCGGGGACCGGGCTGCTCGTGGGAGCAGTGCATGGAGGCCAGATTGTCAGATGATTCTGGAGTCTGGGATCGGGGTTCCCGTGGAGCGGACGCTTGGGGGCCGGGCTGCTCGAGGGGGCGTTGCCTGGCGAAACGGGTGTGTCCGAGATGGGTGGGGGGCAGATAGTGCTGGGGACTGGGGTTATTCAGGAGTGTAACACGTGGATCCTGATGCCAAGTAATAATGGTCACTGGGCAGGAGGGGGAGGTGGGGTAGCGTGTAGGGACTGCTGAAAAGGCCGTGCTAGGGGATAAGGTGGCCAACTCTGGCTATGCATGAGAGCCCGAGGTTAGTGGGATGAAAGATTACAGAGGAAGGGAGTGGGCGGCCAAGGAGCTGGAGATTTAGGGGTGCAGGGCAGAGAGATTCTGTCTTGGATTCCCAGTTTCTAGTAACTCTGTAAAGCAAGGTGAACTGTTATACCTACTTTGCCATCTTAAGAATTATTGAAGGTCTAAGATGAAAAGAGAGGCCTGTGGGGGAGCCATGGCCAGGCCTAACATAGGATAGGGGCAGTGACATGGAATCCTGACCTGGCCAAAGGGTGGCTATGCTGGGAGGTCACCGACCCTTGGACTCACGAGCGGGTTGGGGGAAAGGGGAGAAAGGGAAGGACAGCCCAGGTGGCTTCTTGGAAATCACCCTTCCAGCACATGGCCCAAGGCACTGAGTTGACACTCCTAACCTGGGGCCTCCCCTCCACCAGGTGGGGCCGGGGCTTTGGACTGGTAGAACACTTGCTGGGCCCGGACAGCATCTTCAATCAATCCAACAGCATATTTGGTTGCATCTTCTACACACTACAGCTATTGTTAGGTGAGTGGCCCTGCCCCTTCATGACAGGCCCCTTTCCCCCTTGGCCAGCCCAGCCCCATCCCTTGCAATCTTGGTGACCCAAACAGCAGCCAGCCAGCTGCTTATCACAGAGCACCCTGCGGGCGGGAACTAACCGGAGTCGCAATTGGTTTAGGTACTGTCAGAGCTAGAACGGCCCTTTTTTTTTTTTTTTATAATTTTATTTATTTATTTACTTTTCCCCCAAAACCCCAGTAGATAGTTGTATGTCATAGCTGCACATCCTTCTAGTTGCTGTATGTGGGACGTGGCCTCAGCATGGCCGTACAAGCGGTGTGTTGGTGCGCGCCCAGGATCCAAACCCTGGCCGCCAGCAGCGGAGCACGCGCACTTAACCTCTAAGCCATGGGGCCGGCCCTAGAACGGCCCTTAAAGACTTCCTAGGACCCCAGTTTTGTGGAAAAGACTCAGAAGTTCCTTTCTGTGGGAAATCCAAGGATTGCTTGCCTTTCTTCTCATGCAGAGCTCAGCAAGAAAATTCCCTATTTGGGTTCCAGGGGTCACTGAACAGATAGGAGAACCAAGGCCTTGATGTGGCCTGTCAGAGCCTCATTTTAGAGCCTCTTCCCCAGCAGCCCCTGATGTCTGGGTGGCACCATGAAGTCATGGCAGTGTTCTAGAGGTGGCCAGTCCCTAAAGCCCATGCCTGATCCTTTTCTACCTTGCAGGTTGCCTGCGGGCCCGCTGGGCATCTATCCTGCTGGTGCTGAGTTCCCTGGTGTCTCTCGCTGGTTCTGTCTACCTGGCCTGGATCCTATTCTTCGTGCTCTATGATTTCTGCATCGTTTGCATCACTACCTATGCCATCAATGTGGGCCTGATGACGCTCAGCTTCCGCGAGGTCCAGGGACCCCAGGGCAAGGTCAAGGGGCACTGAGCCCTCATGTCAGGCTGACCTCATCTGCTCTGCTTTGGCATGTGAGCCTTGCCAAGGGGGCCATGTCTGGGTCCTTAGAAGAGTCTGCAACCCACCCCCACCCCCACCCCCACCATCCTCGCACACAGGACAATGAACCAAATGTGCCACGCTCTTTCCTCCACCCTAGTGCCTCTGGCTCTGTCTCCAAGGGCTGGTTTCCAAAGCTCCTGCTGTTACCCAAGGAGGGAAGGTTCTGAGCAATAAAATTTCTTAAATAAATTGGCCAAGTCTGAGCATCTGTCTCCTAGGGACCCTAGTGTTGGGGCTTCCCCAGTCTTGCCTCCTCTGGGACTGGAAGGATATGAGTCAGAGCGAGAGTGGAGGGCCTGCCTGGGAAGGGTAGTTAGTCCCTTCTCCAGTGTGTGGAGTGAGCAAGACCCTGGGGCACCATCAGCACCCACCCCCACGAAACAGGCCAGCAGCTTGTCCCTGCTGCCCACAGGAGCCAGGACTCTTCTCCTGGGAGGACAAAGCACACACTTGCAAGGGTAAGCTGCCCTTCTGGTTCTGTGCATGCTTGCTGTGAAGTTCTTCCTATAGTCTAACCTTAACCCCTCTGGCTGCCTTATCTACCACCCCGGGCCAATCTTGGCAGCCACGGAGAGCCAAGAACAGGTTGTGTTTTTGTATTGTTTTTTCCTAATATGTATTGAGCACTTACCCACATGCCAAGCACTGTTTAAGAACATGACATGTGTTAATTCATAGTCCTCATAGCAAGTGTGTGAGGTTGGTACTGTTATTATCCCTATCTTGATGAGGAAACTGAGGTACAGAAAGGCTAAGCAATTTGCCTAAGATCACACAGCTAGTGCTGGGGAGGGTATTAGGGAGTCCTGAGGATTGGAGTCCCCTGGGGCCAGTTGGCTCCAGTGTCTATGGTTTTAACCCTAGCCACAGCTGCTTCTGTGTTGGGGTCAGGGTTCCTGCACAGGCTGGACTGGCCTGAGTTAGAAGTCAGGAAGAGAAAAAGGATGCACCTTGAGCATTCTTCCTTCCTGATTGAGTCTTCCAACACCGGCAAGAAAGGCGGGCACCACTGTAACCCTGTTTCCCAAGGAGGTGGCAGAGACGTGATGAGATTTGCCAGTCTCATAGCCAGCAAGCAGCAGCCCCGGCCCTTCGACACCCAGCTCTGCACACACTGCCTCTGCAGCAAGATGGGAGAAGGTATGTGAAACTCACTTGGACCTGGGCCTAGCGGAGAGGCAGGGAAGCTGAAATGAAGTTAGAACTGGGAGGGCCTGCCCACCATGCCCTTCACAGTTCCAGGAGGAGAGCTTCCATGCCTGGAGTAAGTTCATTCTATGCCAGGCTCTGGACTAAACATTTTTACATTCAACACTTCTGAGTTTTTCACACAAGGCACAGACAGGCTAACTGTCCAAGGTCACTCAAGTAGTGAGGGAAATGGGATTTGAACCCAGGCAGTCTGGCCATGGCTGAGGCGCCGAGAGGAGTGGTGAGTAGCCCAGGGTCATGCAGTCACAGCTCCAGAGCTAGGAGCTGCTGGCTCCCTTCCAACCCAGGAAAAGTAGTAACACCTCACTACTAGCCAACTGGGGGCGGAGCAGAGGTGGAGCCAGGGAGACCCAGGTGGCCTCTCAGAACCAGAGCACAGGTGGCAGAGTGGCCTGGAGCAGCATGAAGCAGAGCTGGGGACCAGGGCTGCTCATTCTGGGAGCGGTGGTCCTCACAGAGGGTGAGCCATCTGTGTTTGAGCGGGTGGGAGTGGTATGGTGGGAGTTTAGGGGCCACCCTCTGCCCGAGCAGCCCCTGCAGCTTGGTGTCTGTGAGGGGACAGTCTGCCTGTGGCAATATAACTGAGTGTGGCTGTGTGTGTGGGGAGGTGTATGCAGCCACCTGTGTCAAAATGGGTGTGATTTTCTTAGGCTAGATTACAGTCTACGTCTATAGAAACTGTCATTGTGTCTGTGTGTGTACCCTCTGCCCTGTCTGCCTCTCTACCTCCAGAATGACTCTAGGCAAGTTGTGGGGCCCTTTGGCCTCACTCTCCCCATCTTTACACGTCCCATCTTTCCTGGCTCAGATGTTCAATGGCTGTGTTTGTGTGCCCGTGATGGGGAAGAGGCAGGGCAGGAGACCCTCCGGTAGAGTTTCTGGAAAGGTGGGGGAGTCTAAGTCGCCAGAACAGAGGTGGGGTGCGTCTCAGTCTCTTGGAGCCCTCCCCTACTTGGACATGACGCAGGCTTCTAATCCTTCCTCTTAGGCCTCCATGGCTGAGGGCACAATTAAGCTAATACTCTCCACATACACAGGCCGCCCCCCTGACTCAGGGCAGGGGCAGAAGTTGGGGGTTCTGAAGCCTGGAGGAGGGTTGGCCTGGTCCCAAGCTGAACCCCTGTTCCTCAGGCCCAGGAGTGCTGAGTACAGTTGAGGGAGGAAAATTAATTACTGAGTGTATGCCGTGAATAGGTTCCAATAAAAGCTGTTTCTTAATCTCATATAAATATTTTCATTCTGGGAGGGGCTGGTGAGGTAGCCACAGAGTCATAAGCAAGGACCCAGAGCCCGTCCCCCCAAACCTGTCCCCTCCACCAACGCTGGGCCAGGCAGGTAAGGCTCCCCCAGGTCTCACCCGAGTCTCTCTCTTCCTAGGTCTTCAAGCAGCTCAGCCTGGTAAGCTCTGGACACGTGGGGCCTGGGTATTCCTTGGGTCTGGGTCAGGCCTGGGGTGAGAGCAGGACAGGGGCCTGCTGTCAGCCTGACCCACCCCTCTCCACAGCGTGTGGGCAGCGCGGCCCTGGCCCCCCTGAGCCCCAGGAAGGCAACACGGTGCCTGGCGAGTGGCCATGGCAGGCCAGTGTGAGGAGGCAGGGGGTCCACATCTGCAGTGGGTCCCTGGTGGCAGACACCTGGGTCCTCACCGCTGCCCACTGCTTTGAAAAGTGAGTTATGGCTGGGGTCAAACAGGGTTTCTGGCTTTGGGGGGTGGGTGATTTGTCCCCAGACCCCGCAAAGTTGATCCCTGCTGTTAGAATAACAAAGTACCACTTACTGAGAATATGCTGTAACAAGCTTTCATGGTAGAAGCCTTATAGGTGAGAAAACTGAGACGGGGAGAAGGAAAGACCTTGCCTAAAGCCATGGGCTGACACTCGTCCACCTTTCACCTACCGTGTGCTGTCTCCCATGGTGTCACTGTTCCCTTTGCACTCAACGCCTGGCCTTGTCCCTCTTCCAGGGAAGCAGTGACAGAACTGAACTCCTGGTCAGTTGTCGTGGGTTCTCTGCAGCGTGAGGGGCTGAGCCCAGGGGCTGAAGAGGTGGGGGTGACTGCTCTGCAGTTGCCCAGGGCCTATAACCACTACAGCCAGGGCTCAGACCTGGCCCTGCTGCGGCTCGCCCAACCCACGGCCCACACACCTCTCTGCTTGCCCCAACCTGCCCATCGCTTCCCTTTTGGGATCTCTTGCTGGGCCACTGGCTGGGACCAGGACACCAGCGATGGTAAGTGCTGTCCCAGACTGAAGCCCAAAGAGGCACTCCACTTGCCAAAGGTCACACAGCCTCAGTTGTCAACTGTCCCTGCCCCCAGTCTCCCTTGTTTCCCCGAGCCCAGACTCCGGTCCCAACCCCCTCTCTTTTGCCAGCTCCCACAACTCTACGGAATCTGCGCCTGCGTCTTATCAGCCGCCCCACGTGTAACTGTCTCTACAACCGGCTGCACCAGCGGCTGTTGGCCAGCCCAGCCCGGCCTGGGATGCTGTGTGGGGGTCCCCAGCCTGGGGTGCAGGGGCCCTGTCAGGTCTGAGAGGGAGGACAGGGGAAGGGAGCAGCAAGGGAGGAGGCCTAGCCTTTGGCTGGGTGCTCAATCCACAGGGATGGGTGGGAGGGCCGCTGTGGAAGGGCCTTAGCCTAAGGCTGGGGCTCAGGTGTCTGTCCTTGCTTCCGTTGCCCGGCTCCAGGGAGATTCCGGGGGCCCCGTGATGTGCCGCGAGCCTGAGGGACAGTGGGTTCAGGCTGGGATCATCAGCTTTGCATCAAACTGTGCCCAGGAAGACACTCCTGTGCTGCTAACCAACATGGCTGCTCACAGCTCCTGGCTGCAGGCTCGAGCTCAGGGGGCAGCCTTCCTGGCCCAAAACCCAGAGACCCTAGAGATCAGTGATGAGGACAGCTGTGTAGGTATGAGCAAGGGGTGTTAGGAGTGGGACATGTGGGGACACCCAGGTCTGCATGAGGACTTCTGGGCAGCAGGTGGAAGCTACAGTGAAACAAATTTCAGCTCAGAATACAGAATTGATACAGGGCATCCACATACTGCCAGGGGCTAACTATGGGGCTTTTAAGGCCACTTTCAGCCCCCAGGATGAGAACAGCCCCATTTAGGGCTAAGAGGCATAGATGCTTCGGAACTTTATGGGTTTGGAGTTTAGGTAAGAAGACGGGTATCTGAGATCTGGCTGAAGGTTTTTGGGGTAAGCTCCAAGTTTCCAAGTGGGGACCCAGCGAGATTAGACAGGGCAGGGCTCCCACTTAGAATTGTGGCATTAAGTGACTAACATGCAAATTGCATGCAAAGTAATTCCTGAGACGGAAGCTATGTCTTGATGACAAGAGGAGCACTAGTGAGCCAGGAATTCTGGGGTGAGTCCCAGCCCGGAGGGATGCAGACAGGTGGGGTAGGGGAGTGATGAGCAGGCCACTCCCATGAGGCTGGACCATCAGAGTTAAAACCTTAAACCCTGGCTTTTGAATCCCAAGTCTGCCAGCTGCTCGTGGTTACTGAGCTAGAAAGTCACTTAACCTCTCTGGGACTTTGGTTACCTTCGGTAACAAGAGTAACAAAATTCAACTTAAAAGGATATTGTGAGGATTTGACAGTGCGTGGGAAACACTTAGCACAGGGCCTGGCATGCAGTGAGCACTTAGCAAGAAGGCAGATGATGTAATCGGTCTGTTTCAGCCTGTGGCTCCTTGAGGAGAGAAGGTCCCCAGGCAGGAGCCCCCTCTGCATGGCCCTGGGATGCCAAGCTGAAGCACCAAGGGAGGCTCGCCTGTGGCGGAGCCCTGGTATCAGAGGAGGTGGTGCTGACTGCTGCCCACTGCTTCATTGGGTGAGCCCCGTCTCCCTCGCCTTTGTGCCCCCTGCCCTTGCTGGCGGCCCTGCCACCCAATGCTGTCAATGCTGCTTCTGCACAGGCGCCAGACCCCAGAGGAATGGAGTGTAGTGCTGGGGGCCGGACCAGAGGAGCGGCGCCTGAAGCAACTCATCCTGCATGGGGCTTATACCCACCCGGAGGGGGGCTATGATGTCGCCCTCCTGCTGCTGGCGCAGCCTGTGACACTGGGCCCCAGCCTGCGGCCCCTCTGCCTGCCTTACGCTGACCACCGCCTACCTGATGGGGAACGTGGCTGGGTCCTGGGGCTGGCCCAAGGAGCAGGTACATAGGACAGGGCCACCAGCAGCTGTCCATCTCGCCTAGAGGCCACCGGGGCAACTGGGTCTTTTCCCTTCCCTACAGGCACCAGCTCCCTTCAGACAGTGCCTGTGACCCTCTTGGGCCCCAGGGCCTGCAGCCGGCTGCATGCAGCCCTTGGGAGCGATGGCATCACCATTCTGCCAGGGATGGTGTGTACCAGTGTTGTGGGTGAGCCGCCCCGCTGTGAGGTGAGCCCCAGTCCCCAAAACCTCACCCCACAGACTCCTGGTGTCCTCACCCTGCAACTTATAAATAGACCTTCTGCCAGGCTTGGTCTCCAGACCTGCCTCTCACCTGAAACTCAGCCTTTCTGCCTACTGGCTCCCAAAGAGCCAGAGCCTCAGCCCAGCCCCTAGCCCCTTCTGTCCCCCACAGCTGCCTAGGGGGAAGAGGAAGTCACCCAGTGTCACCTGACCCCTGACAGGGCCTGTCTGGGGCACCACTGGTGCACGAGGTGAGGGGCACATGGTTCCTGGCTGGGCTACACAGCTTTGGAGATGCCTGCCAAGGCCCTGCAAGGCCTGCGGTCTTCGCAGCACTCCCCACCTATGAGAACTGGGTCAGCAGTTTGGACTGGCAGGTCTACTTCGCCAAGGAGCCGGAGCCAGAGGCTGAGACTGGAAGCTGCCCGGCCAACATGAGTATGTGCCCTGGGGCCTCCCTGCCAACACTTCCCTCCCTAGACCCCTTCTCTCTCAGTCTAGGAAAAGACCTGTTCTGACCCACCTGCAGCTGCCCTCGTTGGGGTGGAGCAGTGGACAGACCCATCTGGATTCGAATTCTCGTTCTTTGTCACTGTGTGACACAGACCGGGCCTCTCAACCTCTTCGAACATCAATTTTCTCATCTGTCATGGGGGATAAGTAGCACCTCCTTCCTCTTCCTTCAAGGAAGGGAGGAAAGTTGTGAGAATGAGGCCAACCCTATACCTCCTTCCTCTCCCTGACAGGGCAACCAGCCGGCTGTTGACAAGTGGCTCTGGGATGCTGCAAACACAGTGAGGCAATTCCTGCGTCACTGCCCCTGCCCCTCTCCCATTCCCTCCACCCACACGATTCCAGGCACTTGGGCAGGCCCAATAGCCCAGGAGGCTCTGGGAAGGAGCCTGCCTGGACCACCACCTGCTCCCACGCCCCACCCTGCAGGACAGGGAGATGTCACCTGTGGAAGTTCCCCCACACCCAACTCTGCTGTCTGACGCACGCGTCCCCAGCTATTCTTCATCCCCTTGGATACAGTCACACCAGCCACGTACTTCGAAAATTTCTTTTTTTGTGGGGAGCAATTTTCCTTTTTTTTAAAACTTAAATAAATTGTTACAAAATAGACTTTAGAAAATAAGTTACAAATTGTAGCAAAAGGCTCCCCTTCCACAGGCAACATTCCCACCTGTGGCTCTCTAAATCTGCCTCTCCCTGGTGTTGGAATCTGGCTGGCGAGGGTGGTCCAGCATCATGGCAGCGCCTGGCACCAGGTTTCTTGCAGAGCTGGTCATACGGAAGAGCATGGTGACAAAGGCTGGGGGAAGGACGTCCTTCAAGGACACAGGAACATGAGGAACACCTTACCCCCTCCTTGGGAAAGCAGCCAGATCTGGGTCCTCTTGGCAGGGGGAGAGGAGAAAAGAGATGGGGATGCCCAAACTACTCCTGAGCAAAACATGGAGATCAAGCCTTTCCCTGCAACCCACCCCCCCCACCCCATATTCTGATCTTTGGAGACTTGAAGTTCAGAGGGAGAAGCTGAGGTCTGCAGGCCACTGGGGTGAAGGGTCCAGGAGTGGGGTGGTGGGGGTGGGTGGAAGAGGCAATGACAAGTCCCCTCCTCCCACTGCTGGTGCCTTTGGGGCTCCTGGGGAGAGAGAGAGGAGGTCACTGACTGGGGCAGCAAACTCCACACAGCTTGTACCCCCCTCCCTAGCCCTGCAGGCCATTCCCCCGACCCATGGCTCCAGAGGCCTGTAGGAGAACTCCCAATTACCTCCCCAGACCTGGCCAACTAGCTCCTCACTCATTCCCTTGAGGTCACAAGAAATCTGTGATCCTGAAAGCCATCTCATCAGCCCTCTCAGGGGACTCTCACCCACTATTTCCTCCTTCCCTGACAATCAATCTCTGGTCAAGGGAACACCATCTCAGGGACACCCACTCTTGGTGGCCACTAAATGGAATGGGTCCTGAGAGAAAGGCTACAGATCTCTAGAGGAGGTGGAGAGCTCAAGCCCAGGGCCTGCTGAGGAAACAGGCTGTCCTACTACTCCACAGCCTCATCCTCCAGCAGGGCTGGGTGGAGGTGACTTTCCAAGGAGATTCTTCCTGATAGAGGACAGGAGATAGGAGCTAATGACTGCTGTTGCTACCGCTGGGCCTGGCTTCAAAGAAACAATTATCTGTGACTCAGTCCTCCAGTTAAAGCTGTGTTGGCAGAGAGGGTGATGTGCAGGTGGAAAGGATGGTTTGGTTGGATCCTAAAAAGGAGATACGCAGCAGAGAGAGAGGAAAAGGATTGAATAATGGGAAGGGAAGAGACATGGGCAATACCGGTAAGAAAGGACCAAAAGTCTAGTTTCCAAGAAAAGAGAAGGGGGAGCAGAGACAAGATGCAGGGAAGGAGGGCCAGGGAGCTAGGTGCCAACCAGTGACCCAGTCTCCCTGGCCAAGTCAGCACAGTGAAGCCACAAAGCAGTCCAGTCTGGGGTGCCTCCCATGCCCTCTTCCTCATTCCCTGGCTCCCTACCTACCCTAGGAAAGAGCAGAACCTAGATGATCTTTTTCTCTGGAAATCATTACTTTACTGGCTGGATCAGGAAGATTTCCAGATGTAGTAGCCACATGGTACCCAGCTACCTCCCCTCCTAAAACAAAAAGACCATTCTTCTTTGGCTGCAGCACAGCAGAGGAGCCCAGAAAGCTGCCTCTGCCCCCTGACCACTCTCTACCCCACCTCACTGTGCTCTCTCTTTACCTGACCCAGGGGTTCACACCTCAGCCACTCAAAAGGCAGCATCCTCAAACTTGTTTTCTCACTCCGTATCCAAGCCCCCAACCACCTTTTGGAATCCACGTGACCCTCTCCTCTCACTCCTTGCTCCTCTACCCACCTTGGGACAAGATTTTGACCTCCACTGTGTGCCTACCTCCTGAGACCCTTTGATCCTCTCCCCAAGCCCATTCATGCCCCCGTACCAGAGCTGGCCACTGTCCATTCCTCCTGGTGCTGCTGCCGGTGCTGCAGGAAGCTGATGCGGCGGCGGAAGTGGCGGGGACAATGGGGGCAGGTGAAGGGCCCTTCCCGGGGTGCATGGACTCGCCCATGGCCCTCCAGCCGGGCAGCTGTCCGGAAGGCCTTGCCACAGATGCTGCAGCGGTGGCGCTTGGGGTCCGTGTGGGTCCTGCCATGGTTCTTAAGGGACAGCAGATTAGGCAGAAGCTTGGGGCAGAGGGAGCAGGGATAGAGTCCAGTGGTGTGAGCCTTCTGGTGGTTCAGCAGGCTACCAGCATGGCGGTAGGCACGTCCACATTGGGCACAGCGGAAGGGCCGCTCTTCGTCTTCAGCCACTGTGGACTTTACTCCTTGCCCTCTATTAGGTCTCTCTCTTGGGGCCCTGGGGTGTTCTGATGGGGTCTTCTGGGCTTTCCCTTGGACAGGGAGATCCACCTCATCCTCCATAATCCCAGCTTTGGGATCTCTGGCCTCCTCTATCTGGGGTGGCACCTGTCTGAGGCCCCTGGCATGAGTCTGTAGGTGGCTGGTTAGTTCATGGTGGGACTGAAAGGCCTTGCCACAGTCAGGGCAGGCAAAGGTCTGGGCAGCTATGTGGTTGCGGCTGTGGTTCTTGGTGGCCACAGGATTCAAGAAATCCTTGGAGCAGAGCAGGCAATAGTGGTGGTCTGTCTTGTGGGTGTTGTGGTGGTTCAAGGGACCTTCCGATTGGCAGGTCTTGCCACAATGGCTACAGGAAAAGGGATGGATCTCTGGTTGGAGCTGAGGTCTGCTGTCTCCATTGTCCCAGCTATCCACATGACTCAGACTAGGTCCATTGGGCTGGCTGTTGCCAAGGGGGTAAGGACCCCGGGAGACACTGTCCCCTGACTCGTCTTCTGGCTTGGTCAGTACATGACCCTGAGGAACCCAATCTCCATCATGATTCACCTGTCCCCTGGCTCCTTGCCACCCACCTGCTTTCCCCACGCCCCAGGACACTGGTTCTGTGGCTTCTGAACCTGCTGCCCTCATGGGGCTCTGACTCTGCTCCCCTGGCCTCATGGCTCCATCCTCCAGCTGGGGTACCGACTCAGTACCACCCAATCTGTCCTGTAGTCCCTGGTCATCAGCCAGGTTCCCCTCACTACCCTCTGTGCCATTTGGGCCTCCCTCACCACTTTTGGTCTCCTCCTCATGCTCTCGCAGGTGCCGCTCCAGAGATCCCCGGCCAGGGAAGGCCCGACCACAGAGGGCGCAGCGCACAGCTGCCCGCCGGGATCGCCCTGCACGCCGCCGCCGGCTCTCTGAGTGCAGTCTCTGGTGGTCCTTTAGGGCCATGCGGTTGGAGTAGGTCTTGGGGCAGGTGGGACAGCTATACTGGCCTGTCTCATGGCTGCGCCGGTGGTTTAGGAGGCTACCAGCATGGCGGTAGGTCCGTCCACACTGTCCACACCGGAAGGGCCGATCTTCCCGAGTCAGCTTTCGGGTGGCCCCACCCCCACCCCGCTCAACGTGGACCCGCTGGTGGCTGGCCAGCTGTTTCCGCAGGCGGAAGGCCTTCCCACACTCGCTGCAACGGAAACGCCGGGGATCTGCATGGATGCGCCGGTGGTTCTTGAGGGACATTAGGTTTGAGAAGCCTTTGGAGCAGGCCTGGCAGCCAAAGTGGCCAGTCTGGTGGCTCTGCCGGTGATTGATGAGGCTGCCAGCGTGCTTGTATGACCGGCCGCACACCTCACAGCTGAAGGGCCGCTCAGAGCTGACCTCGGTCTGGCAGCCCTTCTCTGCAGTCTCCAACCTCGGCTCCATCTCTTCCCCCTTCACAGTGGTCTCCTCCCATGCCTCTTCTTTCACCATCGCCAACTCCTCCGAGGGCTCCACTTTAAGTTCTTCCTGGAACTTCCCCACTTCTGCCTGCCCCAGCCCCTCCTCTGCCATGTTCTGGGGCTCACTGCTACCTCCTGCCTCTGCAATGGGCCCCACCTGGGGCTCAGAGCCTTTGCAGCGCGGGTGGTTTCGCAGATGATTACGGTAGGCAGCCAGGTTGGGGTAGCAGCGGGAGCAGACAGGGCAGATGAAGTCTCCGGTCTGGTGGATCTTGCGGTGGTTCACCAGACTGCCCCCATGGCGATAGGTCTTGCCACACTGGTTGCAGCGGAAGGGGCGGGGCTGGTCCTCCAGAGAACTTTCCTCACCCTGCATGCAAAGGCTGTCTGCAACAGTGGTACCTACACCCTCTCCAGACTTTGTGTCTCCATCCTCCCCAGAGAGAGAGATCACTGTGCCCTCAAAGACACTGTCTGCAACCATTCCTGGGGCATCAGCACCTGACTCTCCCAAGTGGTTGGGAGCCTTGTCTGCGGTGTTCCCAGAACTCTGACTTTGGTGGTGACGCTCTAGGCTCCCCAGGTCATCATAGGTCTGACCACAGCAGCCACAGATGTGCCCATAACCAGCTCCATCCAGCGCCTCTACCTCCCGCTGCAGCTGATTCAACAGCTCTGCTTCTGAGAGTTGCAGTGGGGGGCTACGAGTGGATGCCTCTGCGGCTCCTTCCTCTTCCGCCTCCTCCTCCGAGCCCTCAGTCATGCCAGAAGAGTCATGAGCCTGGCGCTGGTGAAGCCGGTAGCCAGCCCGCCCGGGGAAGATCATGCCGCAGAGGCAGCAGAGGAAAGGCTGTGCTGAGGCTGCTTCTCCGGGCCCGTGGTTCTGGAAGTGGCTGCGCAGGGCAGGCAGAGAGTCAAACTCCTTTGGGCAGAGGGAGCACTGATAGATGCCTGGTGGATGGCAGGGCCTGTGGCTCAGCAGGCCGATGGCATGGGGGAAAGAATGCCCACAATCAGAACATGTGTGGGACACCTCAGCCTCCCAGCTAGTGACAGCTTCGGCAGAGTGGGAAGGGGAGCTGGGCTGGCTGGTGGCTGGTTTCTGGTCTTCATCCATCCCAGTGAGGCCATCACAGAAGCGAGTCCCATTTCTTTCCTCATCACCTGGGATGTCCAAGTTGTCAAGGAAACAGGCCTCCTGCTTTTC